ATGGGTGAAGTGTATGGTATGTGAATAATACCAATAAAACTGTTTTTTTCAAGAAGTTGTAAACAATTATTAAGAAACCACCCACGAAAACCCTTGCTCCATGGCAGGAAGAAGAAATGGCTCTGGGGAACCCAAGATGGCCACCAGGATGCTGGAAGACAGCAGTCTGCTATGAGTCCTAGTCCCATGGAGCTCAGTCTCCCTACAGCTCCAGGGATGAGTCTCAGATGTGTCACTGAACCTGGAACAGGAGGAGGGACAAGGGAGAGACCTGAAGCAGGATGCCAATGGCTCACACCTGTAATCCAAGCTACTCAGGAAGCAGAGATCAGGAGGATCACAGTTAGAAGCCAGCCTGGACAAATAGCTCGAGAGACTCTATCTTGAAACAGCTCATCACAAAAAAAAAAGGGCTGGTTGAGTGGCTCAAGGTGTAGGCCCTGAGTTCAAGCTACAGTACTGAAAAAAAAAAAAAAAGAGGCCTGAGTAGAAACGGGCAAAACGTGGCTGTGAGGTCTGGTCCCAGGGCACCCAATTCTATCTATTGATGTCTTGCATCTCCTTACAGGACAAGTGACTGAGAGCCAGGATGGGTCCCATTTCTGATTCAGTATATTCCTCTGCTATGCACAGATTTCTCTGTGTTGGCAACTCCCTAGCTCCAAAATGTCAGAGGGACATGACAAGAAAGTGGATCTCAGGGCCCTAGCCCCAGCCAAGCAGATATTCTTATCCTGGCCAGCCTATAAACACCCCTCCTTTGAGCAAAGCGTCCTTTATTGAGTTAAAACAACTCCTGGGAGGGTGAATGTTTTTACCCACCTGTCGATTGAGGTAAAAAAAAAAAAAAACAAACTTCTACTAAAGATTGCTCTACTAAAGATTATTCTATGAAAGATTGTTCTGTTGCTATGACAAGTCACCTCCTTGAGTTTTGAACCCTGTAGCTGAACCAGGCAATTTGCTTCCATGGCCAAGCTTCTGAAAGCCAGTCCATCAGCTACAGCCATACCAACCAGTCCCACAGCTCCCCCTCCTCGGAGTGTGACTGTCACCGAGCCACACACTTCCGTGCCCCCAAGTAAGGCCATCTGCTTCCTCTTTATTTAGGCAAGAGGCTAACCCTCAATTTCCCTTTCTACTGCCCAGATTACAAAGCCACCTGACCTACAAATGATCTTGCTCCTCAAGGCCTTAGTGCTTTGGGTGTGGTAGATTTGCTCCCTACACAGGAGACTCCCAGATGGTTTTTAGAACATTGGCTACAGGGGGGTGGGGGAGAGGTCCTGGCTAAGAGATGGATCTCATGGCTTTTGCCCATCAGCCAGTTCTCCCTGCTTGGGGATGTCAACCATGTTTCTGGTCTGTGAAATGATGACCTGTGTTGTATCCTCCTCACTTAGATCACAGATGAGAAGATACTTATAACCCAAGAAGAGTCTTTGGGTAACATTAATAGCTCACATTTACTACCTGTTCACTAAGTACCAGGCAGTGAGCACTTTACATACATGACCTTATTTAGTTTTCATAAACCCTTGGGACCACATGGTATTCTTATCATCTCCACTGCACAGAGCAGTGATTCACTCAAGGTCATACAGCAAATGTCAACTCAGAGGTTCAAAGTACAGGATCTGACCTATGGATGTGAGTGATGCTTCTAAGCATTTTGTCATGTGGCTGATCCTGGATGTGGCTGATGGTCCTGGGTGAAGTCATTACTAGAATTCAGGGTAGGGAGGTTGATCCTTTACCAAGGTGGTGAGTCCTGTGGTGCAGGGTGGCAGAGAGTGTGCTCAGGACATCTGGATGCCTCTTGTGCCTTCTTCTGGCACCATGTGCCAGAAGGAGGAGGCTCTGAGTAGATACTTTAGGATGGAAGAACAGCAGGTGGCCTATGGCTCCTCGATGCCCATTTCACACAGGTGGTTCACTGAGGGCTGTATCTAGTTACAATGCAGACTCAGTTTGGAGGACAGCAGGATTCTGTTGCCCAGGAAAAGGATGGAAAGGTTGGGTCTTTGAGTCTACCATCTGATTTGCAAAATCCCAACCTACTCTTCAACATTGCAGCCTGTTTACAGGGGTTTATAGTCCAACAAGCTTTCCCAAGCGCTCCCTCTGGCGGCAAGGACACACACTACTGCACAATACAAATTCCATTAATAACCATTTTTGGAATTGTTCATATTTTGACACACATTTCCATATTGAATATTCATAGTAGCCTAGTGGGTTAAGTATTATAGTCACAACTTTAACACAGATGAACTATGGCTGGAAATGTAGCTCAATGTAGAGCATTTGCCTAGCATGTGAGGGGCCAAGTGTGATCCCCAGCATATCACACACACACGCACACACACACACAAGAATATGAAATGGTGCCTAAAGTTAAGTTGAATCCAACACTTTCTCTGCCTTCTCTCAGCAATTGTCACCAAGTCTCTGGTGGTTAGCACCATCTTTTTCTTTTTTGGTGGGACTGGGTTTTGAACTCAGGGCTTTGTGCTTGCAAATCAGGCACTCTACCTCTTGATTTACACCCCAGCCCATTTTTCTTTGGTTATTTTGGAGATGGACTCTCATGAACTATTTGCCTGGGCTGATCTCGAGCCACAATCCTCCTGAACTCAGTCTCCCAAGTAACTAGGATTGTAGGTGTGAGCCACCAGCACCTAGCTTGTTAGTAGCATCTTGTTTACAGAGTTTCTACACTCTGCTTCCTCTTCCTCCCCAGTCCACCAGTTCCCGTTTTTAAGCTTTACTGTCTCAGGAAGGAGATGCAATTGTCTCCTGAGGCAAGAGGGGCTGGGCTCACAGTCTATACTATCTTCCGTCTTCCCTGTGATGAGGCTTTCTCACACTGGCAGTCTTTAAGCTCTCTCTGCTCTATAGGCACAGCCTTCCTCCTCCTCCTCCTCCTCCTCCTCCTCCTCCTCTTCTTCTTCTTCACCTTTTTTGGTGGGACTGGGGTTTGAAGTTGGGTTTGAAGTCAGGGCTTATGTGATTGCAAAGCAGAAACTCTACTGCTTAAGCCACACCTCCAGTCTATTTTGCTCTGGTTATTTTTGGAGATGAGGGTATCTTGAACTATTTGTCCAGACTGGCATCCCAATCTCAGCCTCCCAAGTAGCTAGGATTGCAGGCATGAGCCTCCAGTGTCCAGCTCACAGACCTCTTCTTTTCCGTCTACCCATGAATGTAAGGATACATACAGACAAGTACACAGATTATATGCATGGAGTTTAATGAATTATTGCTCAGTAAATGTATCCATTTAAATTACAAAAACTTAGAATATATCTCACCTCTTGCAACCCCTCTCAATTATTACCACCTCCCAGTGGTTTGTGATCCTGACTTTTAACATTGTAGATTAGTTATGCTTATTTTTGAACTTCATCCAAATGGAATCATGCAATATGAATTCTTTTGTGTCTGGAGTCTTTCATTTTACTTAGATCATACAAACTGTTGCACATAGCAGTCATTTGTTCTTTCTCATTGAACACACTACATAGAAGTTGCTGTATACAGTCAAGTGCTATAGAGTCTATTATATATCATTATAGTACAATTTTTCTGACCCATTCTATTGTTGATGGACATTTGCTTATTTCCAGGACTTGACTATTACGTGTAAGAAAGCAACTCTGTTGAGCATGTATTCAAGAATGAATTGCTGGATTGTGGAGTAGGCACACACTCAGTTTTAGTAAGTAGTACCAGTTTTCCAAAGTGGTTGGATCAATTTTATACTCCCAGCAGCATATGTAGCCAGTTATTCCACATCCTTGCAACATTAGTGTTACTAGTATTTTTAGTTTTTAGCAGTTCTGGTTGGGTGAGTAGTTACATTGTGTTTTTAATTGGCAAAGTGAGTCTAGAACACCACTGGCTGCTCTTTTCCTCTCTGTAGGCCAAACTGATTTCATTTAAGGGCTGGTGGAGTGGCTCAAGTGGTAGAATATCTGCTTACCAACTGTGAGGCCCTCAGTTCAAACCCCAGTACCTCTAAAACAAAAACAAAACACCTAATTTCATTCAGATTTTACAGGTTTTGACATTTTAAAAGAAATTTGTTTCTATGCTTAACTTTTGGGGTTTTTTTGTTTTGTTTTTTTTTTCTTATTTAACTACATTTATTGTGTACATTTTATGGTCTTTGTTTTGTTTTTTGGTGAGATCAGAGTTGTGCTTGCAAAGCAGCTGCTCTATGGCTTGAACCACACCTCTAGTCCATTTTGCTCTGGTTATTTTGGAGATGGAGATCTCACAAACTATTGCCTGAGCTGGCCTCGAACTGTGATCCTCCTGATAGCCTCTAAAGTAACTAGGATTACCGATGTGAGCTACTGGTGCCTGGCTGAATTTTGTTTTTTAAGACAGGAATTATTCATTACATGATTCCTCATGTAATACAGGCTGATCATGAACTCTTGATCCTCCTGTTTCAAACTCTCATATACTAGGATTCCAGGCATGCACCACCACGCCTGAAAAATTTCCAAAGTAATATAAATGTATTTTTTTTTTTTAATGGTACTGAGGTTTGAATTCATGGCTTCAGGCTTGTTAGGTAGGAGCACTACGACTTGAATCACTTCGCCGGCCCTATTTTGTGTTGGGTATTTTGGAGATAGGATCTGCGGAACTATTTGCCAGTGCTGGCTTCCAACCCTCATTCTCCTGATCTCTGCCTCCTGAGTAGCTAGAAGTTGCTAGGATTACAGGTGTCAATCAGTGGCGCCCGGCTTACTTTGTTTTTTTAAACTTGTAAAAGATTTCTAGTTTTATAAGACTCACTCCTGTGACCAAGCACCATGTGCTGGAACAGGGGTCCAAATGATTCCTAGCAACAGAACTTCTTTCCTAGCAACAGATCTCCCAGGGCCTTGCGGCTCTGAAGCGTGACAGAAACGTGAGCCGGATGTTGATTGTTTTCGCCATAGTAACGCACAGGCATCCGGAAGTGACGCCAGAGGAAGGGGAAGTGAAGCCGGGTAGGCTCCCACGTGGGTTGTGTGAGTGGTTCTGAGTCGATGGAAGCCGGTTCTTTAAGCTCAGTGGCGGCCAAGGTTTAGTCAACATGGGTCGCTCGGGGAAGTTGCCCTCCGGTGTCTCGGCTAAGCTGAAGCGCTGGAAGAAAGGTCACAGCAGCGACAGCAACCCCACCATCTGCCGCCACCGCCAGGCCGCCCGGAGCCGCTTCTTCAGCCGACCCTCAGGTAGCGGGCGTGGGTCGGGATGGGTCTGAGCCAGGCGTTCGCCTTTCGTCTCTTGAATGTCGGACCGAGAGCCCAGTGTAAACTCGCCCTTGCCCTTGAACAGTTGCGGAGACTGCCCACGTGGGGAGATGACTTATCTAGGGTACCGTGGTGTCAGAATTGGAACGCGTGGCCGAATTAACTTTGAATGGCTCCTCACAGGGGCTTTCGCTATCTGCTAATGTCCAAGGTAGGGGTGTAGCTCCCGGCCATCTCCCAGTGGCGCTTATGTCATCGCTACGGGAAGTAGGAACTTTGACCTGGAGGTCTCCCGCTGTCCTTGATTATCTAAGTTGTCGACATTCAGAGGGCTTACGAGGCAGGCTGTTCACATTTGAGCCTCTCGGGGTGGAGGTCTGTACTGGGCTGGTTTGTTTCATAGGGGGTGATGGGCCACAAGGTTTGGGTAGAAGTGAAGGCCTTACCTGTGCCTCGGGTTCTCAGGAAAGAGCGACCTGACAGTTGATGCTGTGAAGTTGCATAATGAGCTGCAGTCAGGGTCCCTGCGCCTGGGCAAAAGCGCAGCCCCTGAAACCGCCATGGAGGAAGATCCGGAGCTGGCTGTCACCGAGAAGTCCTCGGGCACATTCCTGAGCGGCCTGTCCGACTGCACAAACGTCACCTTCAGCAAAGTGCAGCGCTTCTGGGAGTCCAACTCGGCTGCCCACAAGGAGGTAGGGAGAGCAGGAGGAACCAGACTCCTGGGTTGGGTTTTCTTCCAGCTCTGGTGACAGCAGCTGGTATTTCTGGATGATGTGTCATCTTTCCTAGCTACATGGTACCCTCCCAGGCAGATTTCACTTTCCACTTTTTATAAGAACATCTTCTCTGCTGAAGTGTAAAGTTCTTGAGGGTAGAAATATTTTCCAGATATTTTTCTCCTTAGCTGTACCTAACAGGACTTTTTACACAGAATATTTTAAAGAAACATTGGTTGAACAAATTAATGCTGAATAACAATAATTAGAAAATGTTTTGTTTATCAAGAGCCAAATTTTTTAATTTACATTTTAAGGTTATATATGTTTATATTTTTCAGTAATTAAATAGAAGGTGTCAAAATGATACAAAGTGATGTGGGTAGAATAAAATGTGATACTTGTTCTCCCAACTTGACTCCTGTGTGACTACTACTTTGGGTTATTGCGTATCTTCTTAGACCAGCACTATCCAATAGTAATGGAAAGTGAGCCACATGTAATTTACACTTTCTGAAAACTACATTAAAAGGTGAAATTAAAATGCTTTATTTAATCTGGTATATACAGAATATCCCTTCAACATACATAGTCTATCTGAATCTACATTTTTTGTTGTTGTTTTGGTGGTACTGGGATTGGAACTCAGGGCTAATCAGGTAGTTTACCACTTGAGCCACTCTGGCAGCCTGAGATTTTTTTTTTTTTTGATTGGACTGGGGTTTGAACTCAGGACTCACACCTTGAGCCACCAGGCCTTTTTTGTGAAGGCTTTTTTCAAGATAGGGTCTTGCAAATTATTTGCCTGAGCTGGCTTTGAACCACAATTCTCCTGATTGCTACCTACTGAGTAGCTAAGATTACAGGTGTGAGCCACTGGTACCTGGCCTAGGATTTTTTTTTAAGAGATGAAGTCTTGCTGTATTACCTAGGCCTGCCTGAATTCCTGGGCTCAAGTAATCCTCCTGCCTCAGCCTCTCAAGTATCTGAGACTATTGGTGTGAGCCACCTTACCTGGATCAAAAACTGAGATTAGTACATTTTGATGACACTAAAATGTGTAATTTGCCTTTATATATCCATTTGGATGCTAAATTTTCATTGGAAGTACTTGATTTGAATTTACAACATTTAGAGTTGTAATAATAGAGTCACACATTCAGGTTATTCCAAATATATGTTTTCTATCCAATAACTGGATCAAGAATTTGTTTGTTTGGTGCTGAGGATTGAACCCAGGGCTTTACGTATACTAAATATGTGCTCTACCAGTGAGTTACAACCCCAGCCCTGGTATTTGTTTTTTAAAAACTTACTTACCTTTTTTAAGGTTTTGTGGCACTGGGGCTTGAACTTAGGGCCTATACCTTGAGCCACTCCACTAGCCCTTTTTTGTGATGGGTTTTTTTGAGATAGGGTCTTGAGAATTAGTTGCGCAGGATGACTTGGAACCGTGATCCTCCTGATCTCTGCCTCCTGAATAGCTAGGATTATAGGGATGAGCCACCAGCACCCGGCTAGGGTTTTTTGGGATTTTTTTTTTTTTGGCAGCACTGGGGCTCGAACTCAGGGCCTTACACTTGCTAGGCAGTTGTTCTTCCTACTTGAGCCACTCGGTCAGCCCTGTTTTGTGTTGGGTATTTTCAAGATAGGTTCTGGTGAACTATTTGCCCACAGTTGTCTTTGAACCACAATCCTCCTCCTGAATAGTGAGGATTACAAGCCCAGCTAGTTTTTAAATTTGTTGTTGTTAAGATAGGGTCTCAATAAGTAACCCAGGGTCCTTGACTATCCTCCTGCCCGAACCTCCTGAGTACTGGAATTATAGGCATGTGGCACCATACCCAGCCCTGTTCTAGACCTTTTTTTGTGTATTTCTTACCTGTATTTTGTTATTGGGGTTTTCTAAAATGTGATTATATTTTATATCCATTATTCTCTAACTTCTCCCTACTGAACAGTATTTCTAAGTCATCTTATATGATTGTTCTTCATTCTTTTCAATGACTATATGGTGTTTGAACCTATCATTTATTAAATCATAATAGTACATTATGATTCCCCTGTATGGCTGTTGTAGTTTGTTGCTACATTGAACATACTTGTGCATAGATCTTAGCACATTTATGCAGGTATTGCTATAAGAAAGAGAGTCCTCAAGGTGAAATTTTAGCAGTCATGTTCCAAGGCCTCCTCTTTGCTAAGGCCATGTGATGTGTACCCCAGCCCTGAATGCTTTTTCCATGTTGTATGTCTCTGAGCTTTATCAGGAGATTAATTTGTGAAGGAGAAAAGAGGACACCCAGCATAGGGTTGATAAATCACAGGTGCTCTTTCCTTCCTGTGCAGATCTGCGCGGTGCTGGCTGCTGTCACTGAGGTGATTCGCTCCCAGGGAGGGAAGGAGACCGAGACTGAGTACTTTGCTGCTCTGGTGAGTAGATGTGACTTTGGGAGTGGGTGTTCAGAGCAGCTGGCTGGCTGTTCAGGCTATAGAGAGAAGACAGGTGTTCCTGGCCTATGGGACAGAGAATGACAACCTGGAACAGGTGAAAGTGCTTCCGTCATTCTCAGTGGCTTGGTAAGGTTTGTCACATTATTCTTTTGGTCACCACCCATGCACTGTCACATTATTCTTGTAAAACAAAAGTCCACTGTTCTGTTTTCTTGTTCTTGATCTATAAAGATGAGTTAGATGTGGGGATCCACAAGAAAAATTATTTTCAAAGTGTGGTCTGGGGTCCTTAAGATGCTTTTAGTGACCCAACTAGGTTGAAGTTATTTCCATAACAATAAATAGTATAACATCATTTACTATTTTTAGTCTCGTGAATGAATCGTGGAGTTTTCCAGAAGTTATGTCGTATCTAAGGACATAATTTTCATATTATTTGACAATGGAATTGTACTTATATATTCTTGTGTTTTAAAGATTGCTCAGTTTTAACTTTCATTTTTTTGTCACATCCTGACATATACAATATGTCAATACATATTGTATATATGCAATACAATACAATGCATAGGTTTACATATGCAAACCTATTTGGGGAGTCCTCAATAATTTTAAGGGTATAAAAGTTTAAGGACCACTGCTCTAAAACAGATTGGCCAACTTCAGCTCATGGGCCAAAATCTGATCCATGGCCTATTTTTACCTTCTGAGAGCTAAGAATGGTTTTTCGTTTTTGGCTGACTGAGGTTTGAACTCAGGGCTTCATGCTTGCTTAGCAGGCATTCTGCTGTTAGAACCACACTTCCAGCCCTTTTTTTTTTTTTTTTAAGGAGAAAGCAAAGATTTATTAGGATGCTATTAAAAGGAGATAAAATAAATGTAGGCAGCCTATGCAAAGAAACATAGCACCTGGGTTTTGGATTTATTTTTTTTGCTTTTTGCTTTTTAAATTTATCGTCGTAACCTTTTTTTTTGGTGGTACTGGGAATTGAACTCAGGGCCTCATGCTTGTGAGGCAGGTGCTCTACCCCTGGTTTTCAGATTTTTAAAGACCTATAAATGCATACTCAAAAAAATATGTATCAGAGAACATATGTGGCCTCCAAATATTTATTATCAGGCCTTTTATAGGAAAAAAAAATTGTCAACCTCTGCTCTAGTACAATAAATTAGAAGGCAATATAAGATTTTGTGTCAGGTGATATTTTTTACTATTGTATGTATATTAATGCAGTTAAACGTCACAATACCTTATAAGGCACATAATATGGTCATGTGTCACTTAACAGGAATGTCCCCTGAGAAATGGGTTGTTAGGTGATTTTGTCATTGGGAGAACATCATAGAGTATGCTTACACAAACTAAGACTGCTACAATGTCACTAGCAGATATGATCCTGTGGGAGCATTGTCTTATATATGATCTGTGATTGACCAAGACATTGTTTTTCAATACATGATTGTATTCTTACCCTTATTTTGCAAGCGAAGAAACTAAGTCACAGATAGGTTAGGTTGCTAGGCAAAGTCACACAGTGGCAGAGCTGAGATTTGAACCTCTAATACCGTGATTCTCGGTCATGACCATTTTGCTGGGTACCTGGCTTCTCCCACCCTTTCTGCTTTCCTGTTTGTGCAGTGTGACATTTTATCCACTAATATCTCCCTAATCTGTTCCTTAGATGACAACAATGGAAGCAGTGGAGTCTCCAGAGTCTCTTGCTGCTGTCGCTTACCTGTTGAACCTTGTCCTGAAGCGGTGAGTCCTGGCTCCTTTTTGAACCTCAAGTCTCTTTGTGGATGGGGGAAGGAAATGTGAACGGGAGGAGCAGGATCAGAGAATTGTTCTTTAAAAAGATATTTGGCTTCAGCTGGGTGTGGTGATTTGATGTCACCTGGGCATGGTGGTACACATTTGTAATCTTAGCTCTAGGGATGCTGAAACAGGAATATCATGAGTTCAAGGCCAGCTTGTGCTACCTAGTGGAACCCTGTCTCCAAAAAAGAGATACTTCATTTCTAATATGAAAGTGTTCTGGAGATTGGTTGCACAACAGTGTGAATATTCTTTTTTTGTGTGTGGATTGGGGTTTGAACTCAGGGCCTACACCTTGAGCCAACCCAATAGCCCTTTTTTTCGAGAAGGGTATTTTCGAGATAGGGTCTTGTGAACTGTTTGCCTGGGCTGGCCTCGAATCACAATCCTCCTGATCTCTGCTTCCTGAGTAGCTGGAATTAGAGCCATGAGCCACCTGCATCTGGCTCAGTGTGAATATTCTTAATACCCTGAACTGTATACTACAAAATGGTTAAGATGGTAAATTTTATGTATGTTTATTTTGCCACAGTAGAAATTTAAAAATAAAAATTTCAAGAAGATATTTGAGTATTGGGTGGCATTTTACATCAGGCTCTGGAGGGTGGCTTGGGATGTCATTCCATTAAGTGAGTATTGGTGCCTACAGAAGGGGCATCCTGGGGCAGTGAGGGTCTTAGAATGTTGGCACCAAGCTGTGGAGGGGAAGGAGGCTTGGCATGAGGTCATGAAGCGCTCTTGTGGATAGTCCAGAAGGTGAGGGAAGCCAGGACTAAGGCATTGTGGGAAGGGATGAACTCCTGTCTTGACAGTTGCAGACTCATTGAGTGGTTGGACCAGCAGTGCTCCTTCCTTGGTATTGCTTAGCGCCTGCCCCAGCTGCTCTTCAGAGGCCTCCTGGTATGACCTTCTCTATTCTCTCTCCAGTGTGCCCAGCCCTGTGCTCATTAAGAAGTTCTCAGATACCTCCAAAGCCTTCATGGACATCATGTCTGCCCAGGCCAGCAGTGGCTCCACCTCTGCCCTCCGATGGGTCAGTGTCTGTGTGTTCCAGAGCCTGTTGCATTTGCTTAAAGCATGGATGCTCCCTGGGAGGGGTTTAGGCAGTCTGGATCCTCAAGCAGTTCCTTATGAGATTTGGTGAGAACCTGGGTTCTTTTCCCTCTTGGCTGAGCCTAGTGGAGCTGAGGACTCTGACTTTCTTCTTCAAGGTTCTCTCCTGCCTGGCTACCCTCCTCAGGAAGCAAGACCTAGAGGCCTGGGGCTTTCCCATCACCCTTCAGGTGTACCATGGGCTGCTGAGCTTCACTCTCCATACCAAGCCCAAGGTGAGACCACTGTGTTCCCCCAGAAGAGGGGAGGGAGCTGGCCTGTCTGAGTGGAGTTGCATAAGTGGCCCTAAGTGCTTGGCTTTTGCCTGAGGTTGTGCTTCCTGCCTCTGAAGCTTCATCCACTTAGACTCAGAAGGTGAAGGGGCAGGCTGCTTCCAGCAGGAAAATGGCTGTCAGGCCCTCGACATCTCTTTGGTACCTTGCACACATCAGATTCCTAGGGTTTTTCTTATCTTGGCACGGAGGATGACATCCTGGGGGAAAGGGACTGTAGAATTGGACCCAGACCTGAGTTGGATTCACTGTGGTGGAACCTTAGGCAGTTGCTTATGTATCTAGGTCTGGGCTTCCTAGCTATAAGATAGGGATAATAATCCAACCTTGCTGTAGAGTTGTGAGGAGGCCCCAGTGTTCTCAGGCCTGGTATGGTGCCTGATGTATAACAGGTGCTCAGTAAGTGGGGGTTCCCCACCCTTTTCCTCCAGAAATTTATGGCTGGGAGCATAGAATTCCCATCATAGAATCCCTCACTACTAAGTAGTGTTAGCCCAGGGAGGCTCACACACGTGGTCTTCCCCTCACCTGTTTTAGGTCAAGGTCAATGCTGAAATGTCACTTCACTGGGTGACACTTTCCTGGCCACCCTATAGAAAGTAGCATCCCTGTTTCATTGTCTGCAAAGTACTTTTTACCTTCTGGCATATTTGTTAAATTCCTGCCTCAAGTGGAATGTGAGTTGTCCACTCTGCTTCAGTTTGTGAACACCTAGAGCAGTGCCTGGCTCACTCAGTGACACTTAGCATGTACTGGCTGACTGAATGGATAAATCCCTGTCTGAATGATGAGGACCCTTGGGTTAGAATAAGTAGCTGGTCTTGTTCGTAGCCATTTGATGAGTTAGCAGAGCGCATAGGATTCTGTACATGACAAAGTCTGACATAGCAGTGGGTGGGTAGTAGGCATTCAGTCAAAACTTGGTGATTGGTGGCTGTGTCATGCCCCCAAGATGCTGGTGGAATGCTGATCTGGCCTTGTCCCCCTCTTTGACCCTCAGATCCGGAAGGCTGCCCAGCATGGCGTGTGCTCAGTCCTCAGGGGCAGTGACTTCATGTTCAGTGAAAAGGCCCCTGCCCATCATCCTGCTGCTATCTCAACCACCAAGTTCTGCATCCAGGAGATTGAGAAGGCTGGAGGTGGGGTGTCCAGACCAAGGGCCAGTGGAGAGATTAGAGACTGGTGCAGGAGGATTAGTGTAAAACTTCTCCTTTGTCTGCCAGGCTCCAAGGAGGCTACCACAACACTGCACATGCTGACACTGCTCAAGGACATACTGCCTTGCTTCCCAGAAGGCCTGGTGAAGAGCTGCTGTGAGACTCTCCTGCGGGTCATGACCTTGAGCCATGTGGTAAGCTCAGGCTACAGGAAGGAAGATGGGTACCCCTAGTGATGCTATTTGGTGAACTCACTGGACAGGCTAAAAGTAGGACGTGGAGCTGGGCACAGTGAGACACACCTATAGTTCCAGCTCCTCAGGAGATTGAGGCAAAAGGATAGCTGGAGCCCTGGGAGTTGGAGACCAGCCTGGTCAACATGGCAAGACCCCATCTTGAAGAACAGCAGGACCTGGGGTCTCCCTGCCCTGACTTTACTCTTAAGATAAACCAAGGATACCACATCATCCATGCTGTTGAGATAAGCCTAGATACCTTAGGGTCCTTGTCCAGTTGGAAGCTTATTTCACGGATCAGAGTGAGGATGGTCTGATGGATGGGGCTGGAAAGAGCCACCTCTGCCTTCCCACCTCCCCAAGTCTACTCTAGCCAGTCACAGTTATTTCTACTTTATGCCTTTTTTTCTTTGTCCCCCTTTTTTCCCTTCCTCCCCACTTCCTTTTTCCCCTCTCTCTTTCTTTCTTTACTTACTAACAATCAGTATAGTAGCTTTAAAGCCACATTAAAAATAATCCCCTGTATTTCAAACATCCTAGCAGAATTCTGTTAATCTTTGTATATTTTCTTGTAGTATTTGTTCACTGCATATTTAAAAATGTTTATTATTAAATAACATGATCATTGTTTAGAGGGAAAACCACTTAGAAATATATAAAGTCAAAAATAAGTCTGTTAGACTGGGGGTATAAGCTCAGTGGCAGAATGTTGATTTGGCATGCACAAAGTCCTGAGTTCAATCCCCAGGATGGCAGAATAATGATAATAGTAAAAGTTACTTTTCCCCAATTCTTTTTTTTTTTGGTGGTGGTACTGGGGTTTGAACTCAGAGCCTCATACTTGCTAGGCAGTCACTCTACTGCTTGAACCACTCTGCCAACCCTTTTTTGTGTTGATTTTTGAGAGAGGGTCTTGCAGACTATTTGTCCTGGATGGCCTCAAATCTACCAATGAGTTACATCCTAAGCCTGGCTACATATAATCTACCTAGTCATTTTGTTCATGTTCCTCTATTCTGGTTATATATATATAATATATTTTTTTTGTTTTTGTTTTGTGTTTCTGGGGATTGAACTCAGGGCCTACACCTTGAGCCACTCCACCAGCTTTTTTTTTGTGATGGATTTTTTCGAGATAGGGTCTCAGGAACTATTTGCCAAGGTTGACTTTAAGCCACCATCCTTCTGATCTCTGCTTCCTGAATAGCTAGGATTTTAGATGTGAGTCACCAGCGCCCAACTCATTGTTTATATTGTTTAAAGGTGTTTTTTTATTTGTTATTTTGTTTGAGGGCCTTGTGCATGCTAGGTAAGCTCTTCAGTCCCTAAATCCTTTAGAGTCCTTCAGTGGCTGCCATTTCTTTCTACAGTGACAATGCTCAGTGTCTGGGTATGGGGGACATTTTCAAAGTTCAGGAGGCCGTGACTTCCTTTTAGCCTACCTGGTGGAGTGAGAGGTCGAGGGGTTCAGTGTAACCATGGGCTTTGCTGTTACCCTCAAAGTCTATATGTCTCCTCCAGCTGGTGACAGCCTGTGCCATGCAGGCCTTCCACAGCCTCTTCCATGCCAAGCCCAGCCCAGGCACCCTGTCAGCAGAGCTCAATGCCCAGATCATCACGGTGAGACCTGATGGGGGAGGGGGGCCTACTGTGCAGGTCCCTGGGGAGACTGCTGGAGTTGTCCACCCTGCTGCCAGTAAATATGCCTGGAGGCTGGAGAGTGGCCATCGAAGTCACATCAGTTAACCATCATAAATGATTTCAGCATGGTCTTGTGTTCATACATACTTTGAGCAGGGCTCTTAACCTTAAGAGATCTGTGGGTGGACTTTGGGAGTCATAAACCCCCCAAATTGTCAACCATGTGTGCACTCATGTTTCAACACAGAGAAGGCCCCTAGCTTCTGTCATACCTAAAAGGTATGTGAACACCATCCTCCTCCTAGAGCCAGTGTTCGCAGAGCACTGGAACTGGAAGGGCTTCATGGACCAGGGAAAGCCAAGTGGGCTGGGATGCCATCCTGTCACTACAACATTGGTGCCCTGGGTAGAGGAAGGGTAGAGGAAGGGATCATCATTGGAGCTACTGCTGACTGTATTTGCTCAGATACCTGCTTATTCCTTGTCTTGCCTCTAGGCCTTGTATGACTATGTTCCCAGTGAGAATGACTTACAGCCTCTTCTGGCCTGGCTAAAGGTCATGGAGAAAGCCCACATCAACCTGGTCAGGTAGGGACAAAGCAGAGGGGCACCTCAGGGCCTCCCTTCAGGTCACCTGCTCTGTGCATGCTGAGGGGAATGATGTAAGCCAGCATCTGGAGAGGCCGTCCAGCTTCCTGGAGACGGATGGTTCCACATGGAGTGTGCTGTAGACCAGCTCTGGATTTGGGAGGTGTGGGGTAGGGCAGCATGGCCGTTATCGCCCACTTGGTTCCTTTCCTCCTGGTGCATGTGCCAACTAGCTCTGAACAGCAGTAGATGAGCTGAGGGCACTGCACTCTGGGTTGGGGCTGAGTTTGATCCTTATTCTTGTCATGTGCTGTTGTGCTACTCTATGTGCTGAGTTGCTCTTCCAGGGAATATCACTCCCTTTCTGCAGCATCACTGCACCCACCCAAGCTGATAGGTTTCACCTTCCTCTGGATTTCACAGTCCCATGCATCCAGCTTCTCTTTGTCTCTTCATTCATTCAGGGTTGGGGCCTGGCCACTTAATAATTCCACTTTTCTATAATAAGGTTGGGAAGAAATTGAGCATATACAGAATCAGTGAGCCACCACATGGAGACATTTTGCCACAAGTGAGGCTCTCTGAGCCTGGTGGCTTTACCATGCTGGGACTGTCTTGTCTCACTAATCACAACAGCCCCTCAAGGGAAGGCCTCATTTAAAAACCAGAAGTTTAAGCTGGTTAGCTAGTCACACAGCTACTAGGGAGCCAGGGCAAGTGTCCTTTCATTAGGAGGGTCTAGAAGTGTCAAAATCATCCTGTTTGCTACTTCCCAGGATTGATTCTTCAGGAGCACACCCACAGTTGTGACCTAAGAGCACAACTGGATGTTGTACCAGGATGTTGTAGCACTAGGTAGTGGCAAAAAAGCTAGAACAATCTAAATGTCCCATGGTCAAGTTGGAAGAGAGTAAATATGGACAGTGAAATACCATTCAGCCATTAGAAATGATGAAGCAAAGCTGGGCATGGTGACATAGGCCTAATTGCAGCACTTGGGAGGTTGGAGAATTCCAAGTTTGAGGTCAGCCTGGGCTAAGAAAGAAAAAAGGCAGGTGTTAATGGCTCATGCCTGTAATTCTATATTCTGAAGACCTGTTTGAATTTTTCACCATGTGTATTATCACTTGAACAACAGTGTCTTCCTTGAATGCCCACCCGGAGGGCCAAGTCAGTGGTTCTTTTTATAACTGGGCTTCTGAGGGAGGTCCCTGAGGCTCAGAGCCAGGCCCTACAGAAAACTTTTGTCTTGACAGGTTGCAGCGGGACCTGGGACTTGGCCACCTTGCTCGATTTTTTGGAACTGCAATGACCTGTCTTCTCTCTCCTCACTCAGCAGTGGTGATAGCTGTCACCCAGAGCCTCAAGGTACTTCTGCCTTCCCAGCCCCAGCTTTAGCTGAGGAAGCAGAAAGCAAGGAGGTTCTGCCTGCTGCCCCAGCCCCCCTCACTATGGGAAACAGACTTCTTAGAAACTGGGAGGGACAAGTGGGACTGGGGTATTGCCTTGGTCCAGACAGCCTGTGGCCTCCTTTTGCAGGAGATCCTGAAGGAATGTGTGGCTCCACACATGGCTGACATCGGCTCTGTGACCTCCTCAGCCTCAGGACCTCCCCAGTACATTGCCAAGATGTTCAGGTGAGAAAATAATGTCCATGTTTAGGAGAGCATGAAGGCTGCTTTGTAGAAAGGTCTATCTGATGACCAGTGTTCCACTTAACTATCACTGTGGGCCATGTACCCAGCTCCAGGCACTCTGGGATTTCAGGCTGAGTATTGAACCTCTTCCAGAGGAGCTCCAGCCAGTTGGAGCACACCACATTTAAAATGCATTTGTAAGATAAGGAGCCATATTGTGGGACTTAAGAGTGTGGATCCTGGATCTCTGCCCTGGATACTCTGTACCTGGAGCTGGATTTGAATCTAGCTACCAGTGATAAGCCCCAGGCATCTGCAGCAAGCTCCTCTGTCTCTCTCCATCTCAGGAGTAGGGGAGAGGAGTAACAGGGAAGTGAAGGTTGAGTGAGGTAGTACATGGGAGCTCTTTCTGTACCTGGCACATAGTTAGACATTCAGTAAACATAGACTCCTAGTGACCCTGTGTAGGGATAAGTACTGACTCCATTTTACAGATGGGAGAGCTGAGTTCACTTAGCTTGTGGCAGGCTGACTATAGAGTCTGCTATCTTGTTCTTGTGCTGGACTGCTCTCCATACCTGTGAGAAGAGCCATTCACAGATATAGCCTCCGAGCAGAGCCAAGCACCCTGAGCAATCCCAAGAAAAGGGCTGGTGTCCCGGGCGTCTCCTCAGGGTCTGTCTGCTGAACTCCATGGTATGGTTCTTTGGTGCTTATTACTTAAAACAGAGGACTGTTTTCTCTATATTTAGAAACTAGCCCACCCCAGCTATTCCCTTTACCCACACTGACCTCTATTGTCCCTTCCTGCCTAAAACTGCAAGGGTGATGGAGTCAACCAAGGTGTCCACAGGCTGGAAGGGCCAAATTCCCTTCTCTCTACCAGGCTACCTGTTCCTACACATCCTCCCTCCTCAGGTCAAACCAGAGAAAGCATGGGACAGTGAAAAAACACACACTAGGGAGGCCCAGTTGGTCACTCGCAGAGTGACCCTGGTGGCTTACTTAGTCTCTGAGTCCCGATTTTCTCTACTGAAGATATAAAAGAGTACTGTCTCACAGGATTTTCGTAAGCTCTAGGTGTATGCAAATTGACTAGGCACAGGGAGTAGCATGACACTTTTTTTTTTGGTGGTACTGGTGTGTGAACTCGGCCTCACACTTGCTAGGCAGGCATCTACCACTTGAGCCGTTCTGCCAGCTGTGACACTTTCCTAAGTGCCCTTTGTCTTTCCTGGGCCATTGTCTTATTGGCTTTCTAGAGCTCATAATGCCATTCATTGTCGTTTCCTGACTGCAGAGTGGGTTGGGGTGGCACTGACTATGCCTGATTCCTGGCAGGGCAGTGGAGGAGGGCCTGACATACAAATTCCACGCGGCATGGAGCTCCGTTCTGCAGCTGCTATGTGTCTTCTTCGAGGTGTGTGGGAAGCAAGCCCATTCTGTGATGAAGAAGGTGAGCTGGGAGCAGCTGAGGTCATTGGACTGTGGGCTGCTGGACGGGCCCATCTCTGCTATCTCCGCAGTCTACCCACACCCATCTTAACAGTGCCCACAGTATGTGCCAGCACCATGTCCCCAGGAAGCTGACTGGGTCAATGTAGGAAGAACAGTAAGAGAGGTGGGAGGTGTCCCGCAAAGCGCACACACACACGTTCATAGTCTTTGCTGGAGTTGTTTCAACGTGTAGGGAACCAGTGTGATTCTTCCTTACCTCAGCCCTTACCTTTCAGTTTTATAGATTTTGTATAATAAATGCATATAGTGTCGACACTGTGGCTTTAGGTATGTTAGAGTAAACCATTTAAGGACCAGGGATCACTCCTGGGCTCCTGCTAGGTGGGACCAGTCTCCTTGTCAACAGGTGGGTCAGCTCCTAGCCTGTGGGATTCCTCACTGACTCCTCCCACTGCTGACTAGAAAAAAAAGGAGCTACTCTGGAAGAGAGGGCCTCCCTTGAAAGGCCTGGCTTGGGCCCTGATTGTTTAGGTTGACAAATGTGGCTTCCTACAAGAGGCCAGGCAGGTCCTGAGAAGCATGGCTGCAGGAGGTGGTGGGGCTGGTGGGGCGAAGGTACAGTTTTGTCTCCTTAGTGCCTGTCGATTGCTTAGTTACTCATGGTCTGCTTTTGTGAGGACCTCTCAGTTTTCAAAATAAATTGGAAATCTCTATTTGTTTATAAATTTTCATATTTTTTTTACATGTTAAGTGAAATTTTTTAAAAGCTCTGGGCTTTGGGGGAGGGTTTGGACACATCACTGGGTCACCTAGTTATCAGTGAATGTCTGCACTGTGGAACTTCATCTGGGCCCAGAATCTCAGCCCCATTCTTTTGGAGATCGCCCAGGTCTGGAACATGGATTCCTGCACACCAAGTAGATCTGCAGTGAGGGCAAATAGAGAAAAACATTTTGCTGATTTAGCTCCAGGCTTCTGGTCAGCAAAAAACAAACAAACAAACAAACAAATACAGTAACAATAAGAAAACTCTACGTTTTATTTTATTGTTGCTTTTGTTTTTGTAATGCTAGAGAGCGAACTCAGGGCCTGGCTCATGCTAGGCAAGCGCTCTATAACTGAGCCACATCCCCAGTCCTGTGAGCATGTCTCACAGAGTAGCCTCTTTTTCCATTGCTCCAGTGCCTCCAGTCCTTGTGTGACCTGCGTCTCTCCCCTCATTTCCCCCACACGGCAGCCCTAGACCAGGCAGTGGGGGCTGCGGTGACCAGCATGGGACCTGAGGTGGTGTTACAGGCTGTGCCTTTGGAAATTGATGGCTCTGAGTAAGTATGACCCTAGTTGGCTGTAGAGGCCCCAGGAGAGTCAGGTGACTTGTTTTCCTCTGGGAAGAATGGAGTCTGTATGTACAAGGGGCCTACAGGCTGTCGTCTGTTCCTCACTGGATTCCTCCCTTCCTCCTCCAGAGAGACTCTGGATTTCCCTCGGAGCTGGCTGCTACCTGTCATCCGGGACCATGTCCAGGAAACTAGACTTGGTTTCTTCACCACCTACTTCTTGCCACTGGCTACCACCCTGAAGAACAAAGGTACCAAGCTCTTGACTGTGTGCAGCCTGAGGCCCCCTCACTGTCTGGAACTTCAGCTGATAGAGTCAAAAAGGGCTTTGAGTCCAGTACATCCAGCCTCCTGCACATTCAGTAGCATCCCTCTGCCAAGCAGGTGGCTGACTGGTACTCTCCCCTGGGAGCTCCACTCTCTGTGTCTTGTTCTTCCACTTTGGATCATAAGAAACAGTTTGGTCCCTTCTTTCTTGTAGGAGCCCTTGAGGCAGCCTTTTGGTTTTTTTTTTTGGTTTTTTTTGGGCAGGACTGAGATTTGAACTCAGCCTCCTACTTGCTAGGCAGACGTTCTTACTGCCTGAACAACTCTGCCAGTCCTCTCACACTGCTTTTTAATGACAGAGTTAAGTAGTTGCAAGAGAAATCATATGACTTGAAGGGTCTGAAATATGGGTCCGTTGCCGAAAGTGTTTATTGACCTTTGACCTATGGCAGTGATTCTTAATGGGCATGATTTTTTTTTTTTCTTCAAGAAATTCACTTTAGTTGTTAAGATACAGTTTGGTTAAAAGTTAAGGGATGAAGTCAGGTGTAGTACTGCACACCTGTAATGTCAGCACTTGGGAGATTGAGGCAGGAGGATCATGAACCTAAGGACAACCTGGTTTGCACAGAGACCCTCATATGACATGTATAAATTAGCTCTAATTGGATCAGAAAGGCAAACCTGGGATAAAACTTCCTGTGACACTCTTTACTTCTTAGGTATTTGCTGATATGGTAGTCTTAGGACTCAATGATTCTATCTCCTGGTATTTATGTTCTTTATAATCTCCTTTTCTTGCTTGTGTGTAAAATCTCTTGAACTGTTTCTGAGTGCTGATGAGGTATTACCAGGAAACTGTTTTTAAAGAAATTGGGAATGAGGCAGGAGGTCATTTGGCTGTCATGAGTAATTTGGCAATGCCTGGAGACATTTTTCATTGTCACAAATGGGAGAATGATGCTCTGGCATCTAGTGGGCAGAGGCCAACCTTGTCCTAGATAGGGTTTCCTGATTTCAAGTATCTTATAAAATATATAAGAAATGGGCTGGGGTGTGGCTCAAGTGGTAGAGTCCTTGCCTAGCAAGCACAAGACCCCTGAGTTCAAACCCCAGTACTGCCAAAAAAAGGATATATAGGAAGCATTTAAAGAGGAAAGTAAAAACTGCTCAATCCCCTCACTCAGAGAGAATTGCTACCTAAATATTGTAGTATTTCTCTTTCCATTTTTTTTCCTGTGTGTAAAAATCATATTATATTTTTACTAAACTAGAATTACAGCTCCTGTATTAGTAATTTTACTGAAAATCTTCCCTAGCAGTAAGGATGTATCTCAATGTTTACTTGCCAGTGGGATGCTCTGGGTTCAAACCCCAGCACTGCAAAAGAAATTGTTTTTCTCTGATACACAAAAATCTTTTTTTTTGGGAGGGTGTTGGGTTTGAACTTAGGACCCACACCTTAAGCCAGTCTATTAGCCCTTTCTTGTGAAGATTTTTTTCATGATAAGAGTCTCTAGAACTAATTGCTGGGGCTGGCTTTGAACTGTGATCCCCCTGATCTCTGCATCCTGAGAAGCTAGGATCAAAAGTCAAGCCACCAGCTCCCAGCTTTTTTTCTTCTGATTACTTAAATTTTTTTTTTGTAGTGGTGGTACTGAGGTTTGAACTCAGGGCTTTGCTAGGCAGGCACTCTAGCCCTCTTTTAATTACTTAACAAGTGTATGCCCATAAAAGAGAGTATAAATGATCCCCTAAAATGAGGATCATTAATGTTAGCATAAGCAATGGCAATATACTGGTACTTTTTTTACATCCAGTGCTGGGGATTGAAATCTAGGGACTTGTGTATGAGAAGCACACAATCTACCACTGAGCTACATCACCAGCCTGGCAGTGATCTTAAGGTTGAGATGTAATGGTATTCCACTTAGACACCTGTCTTGAAGAAATGGATGAGCACACTCCTGTGTACATGTGTGCAAAGTTGTTTTCTAACCATGTGCTTTCTACTGGCAAAGAATCTGACACAACCTACATGTCTTTCTGCAAGATTTCAGTAAGTTAGCTCTGGGAAATCCCCATTTTGAATGCAATCTGGTTATTTCAAAGAAAAGAGAGAGACTAGAATGTAGGGACAGATGATATAGTAGATTGTGACTTTAGCAGACTAGATTTAAACTTTAGACAACTTTATTAATTTGACAGGGGCAATGCCTCATCTATAAGATGGCAGGATAATTACATTGTGGTGCTTAAATGAAATAACTACATTAAGTGCACATTACCCAGATTGCCTGATAGAACTTGCTCAATAAATATTGCCAACTTTATTGTCAAGTAAACAAGGTTACAGATCATGATATATATATATATATATATATATATATATGCTACAGTCCTGTCTATGTTTTAAAGTTTTTTTTGTTTTGTACTGGAGCTTGAACTGAGGGTCCATGTTTGCTAGGCAGGCGCTCTACCCCTGTAGCCACTCCATTAGCTATGTTTTTAAAAGTACATATGTGTTTAAGGAAGTGCTGAAAGTTGTGAGAAACAGGCCATCCTGAGGAGTCAGATTGTGGAGTGACATCCTTTTTCTGTTTTCCATAGGTTTGTTCTAATTGTTTGTATATGCATTTATTATTATTATTATTTTGACATTATTGAAGTTTGAACTCAGGGTCTTGTACTTGCCGGGCAGGCAAGGCACCCTGTTTGAATTGTTCAGAATAAATATTATGATTTAATTTTGGTGGGGGAAGGGTCACCCATATTCCCATCCTCCTGATTGGTCTTTTGGTTTTGATGAAATGAGGCCCATTGGCCAGGAGGTTCCCAGGGTCACACTGTTGTTTTTGTCAATACACTCCAGCAATGGACCTGGCCCAGGCAGGCAGCACAGTGGAGTCCAAGATCTATGACACACTCCAGTGGCAGGTAAGAGTCAGTTGTGGGGAGGACCAGTAGAGAAGAGAGTAGGGGCATGAGTTGCTGGTGTCACTCTCCTTTTCCACCTCCTTCCTCCATAGATCTGGACCCTTCTGCCGGGGTTTTGCATAAGGCCCACGGATGTGGCTGCCTCCTTCAAAGGTGTGGCGCGGACATTGGGCACAGCCATCAGTGAACGCCCAGACCTGAGAATCACTGTGTGCCAGGCCCTGCGCACCCTCATCACAAAGGGCTGTGAGGCAGGTACGTTGGGCACCAAAGTGGGAACACGTGAGAAGACAAAGGTCCCTGGTCCCATTCACTGGTCCCTTGTGGCTCACTGCCATGCAGATCTCCAGAAGCTAGCCTCTGCAGCTCACCCTGCAGCATTGCTGCTACCGGAACCAGGGCATGAGGAGGTGACTAGTGATGGCTTTTCTTGTACCCCTGAGTTCAGTGTGCTGATGGCTGCTGGAGACCTGTGCAGCAAGTATCAGGCTCCAGGACAGGAGCCTAGAGCAACCCAGACCACTGTGGCACCTTGTTCTGTGGGCCTTCGCCTCTCTGAGCCAAAGAAGCCCCCAGACCTGTGGGTTCCTAGTCCTGCCATAGGATCTCCTAAAAGGAGTCCCAGTGACTAATGAGACAGAGCCAGCTCCGTCCTTTCAATGCAAACTTGGGTCCTCTTGCCAGAGGCCGACCGTGCTGAAGTGAGCCGCTTTGCTAAGAACTTTCTGCCGATCCTCTTCAACCTGTATGGACAACCTGTGACAGAGGGGGACACTCCAGCCCCTCGCCGGGCTGTGCTGGAAACTATCAAAACTTACCTCATCATAACCGAGACTCAAGTAAGCTGCTAGAGGGGAAGGGGAATGCTCTCAAATGGGCTGTCAGGTTGGGCATGTTGGAAAGGCTGAGAACCCACCTACTAGGTCTCTGCTACCTGGAGAACAGGGGACCACACACAACGATCAAGGCTTGGACTGGGCTAGAGGTCCTGAAACTGGGGAGGCAGCTCTGGGAGCTGCTGCTATGGTTTCTCTGTTTTTCTCTCCTTTGGGGACTACCAGTTGGTGAATGGTTTCCTGGAAAAAGCCAGCGAGAAAGTACTTGACCCTGCTAGCTCAGACTTTACCAGGTAATATGCTTGAGCTGGGCTGCCCAAGGGAGCTGGAGGGGTGTCTAGCAGAAGCTCTGTGGATTCTCTCTGAAATTGTTTGGGGAAGTCTTGAGATATTTATTGAATGTCCCAGTTCTACCTTCTTCTTGAGGCCTTTAGCAAGGATCCTGGAGACATACTACTTGGTCCAAATCCTAGTTCCCCCATTTTCAAGCTGTGTGACCTTGGACAAGTTACTTATCTACTATGTTTCTGAGTCATCTGTGAAATGGGCATGATAAGCATATCTACACTATCAGGGCTATTTGAGAGTTGAACTTGCTGCATATGTAATGCACCAGGAGTGATGCCTGGTGCGTGATGAGTCTTGATTCCTCACCATGACTTCTTTTATGTTCCTATAGCCAGTAAACATAAGAACATAGATAGCTTATACCCCTGTCCAATCCCCCTAAGCCCCTCCCTGCCCCAAGCAGATTGTCTGTCCTGGACCTGGTCGTGGCCTTGGCTCCTCATGCTGACGAAGCTGCCATCAGCAAGCTGTACTCCAACATTCGGCCCTACCTAGAGGTGAGTCCCACACAGTCTCTCCTGGGGGGAGACGGGGCTCCAGGAAGATGGGGCCTGTCTTCTTGTCTTAATCCCATGCTGCTCGCCCAGATCAGGCTCCATCTGCTTTCTCTTGCAGTAGCTTACTTTTACCCATCCTGTCTATCTGTCATGTAGATATCAAGGCAACTAAAATGTACAGCTGTGCTTTGGTTCCCCTGCCAAGGTTTCTCTTGTAGAACAGAAGCTCTGCTCCTTTGCCTGCTACCACACTAGGCCTGCTACCACCCTGGTTCTTGGGATGGAACCTAAGAACCTCATGCATGCTAAGCACACACTTTACCACTGAACTACACCCCAGCCCCAATCCAGGATAGAGCAGGTACAGTCTACACCTTTGCTTGTGCTGGATCCTCTGTCTGAGATGCTGTCATGTGGCTGACAGCCATGCAGAACTCATCTTAGCAGTGCCCTCTTAAAAGCTGTCCCCATTGCCACAGTTCACTAGCAGTTAGGAGGGAGTGAAGTGCTCTGAGTCAGCGTGCAGGTGGACACAGAAATCCAGGACTGGGCCACCTGATCTTAGAGCGATGTTCCAGGAAGAGTGACAGGGAACTCCTTGGGAATTGCATGGAGTTGGTCAGGCAGAAAGGAGCACTCTAGCAAGAGAGCAGCAGGTACATGGGCCTTGGCATATCCAGGTATTGCCTTCCTGTGCTGGAATGTGTGTTATTTGAAGGTGGCCAGGGAAATGGCTTGGAGAACAGGACTGGCTTTGCTTCCTGCAATGTCCCTCATGCCTAGGAGTTAGCTTCTCACTGACTATATTCTGCCCTCCCTCCCATCAAATTTCATGAGCTCCAGATCATAAGAAAAAGGCCAGTTTCTTTTTTCCAATGTTACTGGAATTTGAACTCAGAGCCTCACACTTCCTAGGCAGGTGCTGTCCAACTTGAGCCACACTCTCCCCACCCCTTTTATTTTTGGCTTTAGTTTGTTTTTCAAATAAGACTTGTGCTTTTGCCCAGGCTAGTCTTGAACTGCCATCCTATCTCTGTTTTCTGAGTGGCTGGGATTGTAGGCATGAACCATCATGCCTGGCCTGTAGGCCTGCTGCCTTCCTCACCTGTCCCTGTCTACCATGTGCCCCTCCCAGAACAAGGCCCATGGGGTGCAGAAGAAGGCTTACCGTGTGCTGGAGGAGGTGTGTGCCAGCCCTCAGGGTCCTGGGGCCCACTTTGTGCAGAGCCATCTGGATGACCTGAAGAAGACCTTGCTGGGCTCTCTGCGGAGCACATCCTCACCTGCCAAAAGGGTGAGGGCTCTGGGGCCTCTTGCTCTGCTGAGGGAAGAGGGGTGACACTGAAAAGGCTCAATGGGAGTGAGGGTCATATTGAAAGGTCCCAGCTATTGTCCCCTGTCTGCAGCCCCGTTTGAAGTGCCTCATACATATTGTAAAGAAGCTCTCAGCTGAGCATGAGGAGTTCATCGCTGCCCTTGTCCCAGAGGTAAGGATGGTGGGAGGGAGTGTGTGTGCATTTTGGGACTTCCCTGGAGTATGGCTCCCAAGAGTCTGTCATGATTGTGGAGGAGAGACAATGATGGTGGTGAGGGTGGGATCGATTTGCTACTTGGACATATGGGTGTCTTTATCTGCCCCTTTGTGCTTTGAGGACCCAGCCTAGAGCTCTAGCTCAGGTTGCTAACAGGGCTTTCTGGCCAGGTGATCCTGTGCACCAAGGAGGTATCGGTAGGTGCAAGAAAGAATGCTTTCGCCCTGCTGGTGGAGATGGGCCGTGCTTTCCTGCGGTTTGGCTCTAACCAGGAAGGTGAGGTGGGGATGCAAGCTGGGGTGGACTCTGCTTGTAGACTGCAGGCATCACCCCTCAAAGCAAGACTGGAGAGCTCCTTGCCTTGCTCTGGCCTTGTGTGACATGTCCAGATCTCTGTCCCCAGAGGCCCTGCAGCGCTACCTTGTCCTGATCTATCCTGGTCTCGTGGGCGCAGTGACCATGGTCAGCTGCAGCATCCTGGCCCTGACCCACCTCCTGTTCGAGTTTAAAGGTGAATATTTATCTGAAGGCCTGGGAAACTCTTAAGGCAGAAAATGCACCAAAGGTCAGAACAGGGTAGCTTCCAGAATGGGAAAGGTACCAGGAAGCTGGAGGAAAGCAAGAACCCATGGTGCCTGCCCCCAGCCCTGTCTCCTTTCCCTCACAGCTATGCCTCATCATCCTCACACTTGCGCAGCATATAGCCGGATGTCCTTGTTGCCCTGTATCCCATCAGAGTGGACAGGGGAGGGTAGGCCAGTGCCTGGATCTTAGTGTTGGTTCTGCCTCTCGCCAACCATGTGAATTCTTGAGCCTCTTTACTAACCTCTCAGAACCTATTTTTCCTATCTTTGAAGTGAGGAGAGACATAGCACCCACTGTGGGTGGCTAATAGACATAAGGTCACTTCATGATGTGGTGATTAGAACCATTCCAGGCACATGGAAAGGCTCTGAATGTTAGCTTCTGCTAACATTTGACCAAGTTGGGGCAGATGGCAGCTGCTGCTTTCAGTGTGGTGGGCTTGGGTCCAGGAGGGTCCTGGTGTCTGACTGTGGCCCCTGTGCTGCAGGGTTGATGGGGACCAGCACAGTGGAGCAGCTCCTGGAGAATGTGTGCCTGCTGCTGGCCTCTCGCACCCGTGATGTGGTCAAGTCTGCGCTGGGATTTATCAAGGTGGCAGTGGTAGTCATGGACGTGGTACATCTGGCCAAGCATGTGCAGCTGGTGGTGAGCACTCCCTTTCCCTCAGCGAGTGTCAGTGGCCTCTGAAGTGCCAGCATGAGCTCTGTGGACTGAAGGCCAACAAGTTTTGAACTTTTTCTTTAGCCATAGCTGCTTTTTGCAGCAGAAGGACATTAAGGAGCCCTGGGAGGGAACTGTAGGAGAATGCTAACCTAGTAGAAGCACAAAAAGGCACACACAGTGCCCAGGCTGCCTCAAAAGAATTTCAGAGAAACTGAAGTCACACATTTCCAAGGTCACACTGAGTCTCCCTCTGCAAGGCCTCTTGTCCTGTTTTTTTTTTCCTTCCCCTCCCTACATTTTGACTTTGGAAAGGCCTCTGCACACCCCTTCTAGGACCCTTGCTGGGTTGCAGAGTCTGATTAGGAGCCTGGCCCCCTCCTGCCCAGGGGAAGCCTAACCCAGGCATGTGGCAATCTGGGCTAGTGCACTAACCCTCTGCCTCACTTTCCTGCTTCCAGTTGGGTTGAATCACATAAGACCTCCAGGTCCCTATTGCATATCTCCTTTGGGTCTGGGTCTGGCTTCGAGGCAGGAAGTTGCAGATGGGATCAACATGTCCTGCCCCTGCCCTCCAATGCTTGTAGCCTAACTGGGAACTAAGGATGGAGAGAATGGCTAGGGCAGGGATCTGCCATGGGTTGTTAGAATTTATGAAAGCTCTTCAAAGGATGGTTGGAGCCCTATTCCCCCAGCTCCATTGGGAGATCCTGCAGATAATAAGACCTACTGCCAATGTGTATTACCTAAACTAGGCTAGATGAACAATGCAGCAAGACAGAAGGGATGCATGAGACCAAGAGAAGCCTAGTATCAGGTGCAAAGTAGGATCCATAGGATTAGATAGACTGGGATGAGTTCTCTCGCCTGTGGCCACCCAGCAACCATGTAACCCTGTGTCTTGGTTTCCTCATTTTTAACTGGGTTTGATAACATCTGTCCTATTGAATCAGTCCAAGGATCCAGTGAGAGAACATATATAGAGTGCTAACAATGTTCAGAAGACTAAAGCTACCATCTTGGAAGGACAGTCAGGAACTGCGTTGTGAAGGAGGGTCTAGGGGAAAGATGCAGCTGTCCAGATTCTAGAAGCATGGTTGAACCAAGGAGTGGGCCAGGAGCAGGGTCACTGACCTCTCTTCTTAGCTGGGCCCCATCTTTCTGTGTCCCTGGTCTGGACAACAATGAAGGCTGGGCAAGGGGGAAGGCACACCACCTTCTGACACCCTCGTGCTCTGCCTGCCAGATGGAAGCCATTGGGAAATTGTCAGATGACATGCGGCGGCACTTTCGCATGAAGCTTCGGAACCTGTTCACCAAGTTCATCCGCAAGTTTGGGTCTGTACACTTGAATGGAGGTGGGGGTGAAACAGGCACAGAGTTGAGGATCCCCAGTGCCCCCTCGAACTTTAGGGAAGGTTCCCTGTTCCCTGGACACCTGCCTCTGGGGGGTGTTCTCTGGCCAGTGCCTCTCACCAGCCCAACCCTTCTTTGGCCTCAGATTTGAGCTGGTAAAGGGGCTGCTGCCTCAGGAGTACCACAAGGTCCTGGTCAATATCCGGAAAGCTGAGACCCGGGCCAAGAAGCACCGTGCCTTGAGCCAGGCTGCTATGGAGGAGGAAGAAGAGGAGGAAGAGGAGCCCATCCAGGGCAAAGGTGACAGGTGAGATCATGGCAAAGTCCTAGGGACCTTGTATCCCCCAGCCTAGAGCCTGTTCAGGCAATGTCTGTTGACCTGTGCCTCTTTCAGGAGTGCTCTGACTTAAGACTTCTCTGTTCTTAGCATTGAGGAGATTTTGGCTGACTCGGAGGATGAGGAGGACAATGAGGAGGAGGAACGAGGCCGGGCCAAGGAGCAGCGGAAGTTGGCGCAACGGAGAAGCCAGGCATGGCTAAAGGAGGGTGATGGAGATGAGCCCCTCAACTTCCTGGATCCCAAGGTGGCCCAGCGAGTCCTTGGTAAGCAGGAAGTAGCTGGCACATGAGCTCAGAAAACACACTTTCATTGGTGCTAGATTTTTTGGCAGTGGGCAGGGGGTGGCTTCTGTGGCAGGTCAGTGGCAAGAGCTGCGAGGCCCCAAGTTGGGAGCAGAGATGGGGAGGATGTGAGTGGGTTAGGACTGGCCTTCCGCCTCCTCATACCAAACTCCATACCAGCCACACAGCCCGGGCCTTGCCAGGGCAAGAAGAAGGATCATGGCTTCAAGGTGAGCGCCGATGGCCGGCTGATCATACGGGAGGAGGAAGATGGCGACAAGGTGGAGGAAGAGGAAGGCACTAAAGGTAGGGCCATGCCTGTTTTGGGAGGTAGTTGTCTCTGGCCTGGGCCATAGTTGCATTTTGTCATTCATTCATTTAGTCACTCATGGTTCACTCGCGCATTCATGCAGTGACCGAGTTTCTCAAACTTTATTAACATTAAAAAATGTTTTTATTTTTGGGCTGGAGGCATGGCTCTCAAGGGGCACAGCACTTGCCTAGAAAGCTCAAGGCTCTGTGTTTAAATCCAGTACCCCCCAATCTTTTTATTTCATACTTTATATCCCTTATCTACTTGCCTGTTTATCTGTATCTTCCTATTTATATAGTACACTTATAATTCATACAAAATGTTTGGGAAATGTACCTTCCCTCACCATGTATGATCTGCTATTATTAGTCTTTCTTCTCTTCTGTTCCTTTTCTTTTCCTTCTCTTTCCTCCTCATTCCTCCTCCTTATTCTTTTTCTTTCTTATTATTACTTCTTTTTAACACAAACTAAGCTCCTGGAGCTCATTTAGAATTGGTAAGAGTCAGACTCTGAGACTCTCCCAGTTTTCCAATATCTGGGTTATTCAAGAGTCCCTCAGGCATGATGTCTGGAACTCACAGTTAGTCTCTCCTGGTCCATCCATCAGATAAGAAACACCCAGGTCTTCCAAAAAGTGTCATCCTTCCCAGGTTCAGAGTGTAGCTCATAGTAGAACACTTGTCTAGCATCATCTGCACCACAAACAGGAAAAAAATTCTGCCTTTGGTTGTTTTGGTTCCCAGTGCCAAGCCCTGGACCCTTGAGTCACTGCCCTCCTAACTGGTGCTCTCATGGCTCCCCTGACAGCTCCTATCACTCAACAGTTTTGTGTCTGCAGATACTTATTTAATCTTTTTGTGTTTCTTTGTCCTTATTCCAAAACTGGCCTCAATGCTGATACTACATCACAGGGTTGTTAGGAAGATGAAATAGTATAACATGTACAGCCCCTGTCCATGCTTGGTATCAACATAGCCCTAACTACTTCTTTAGCTCACCTCTTCTGTGCTACCCTCCTACCCCTTTGCACTCTCCCATCTCCTGTCATCTTGGTTTCCAAAGTGTTCCTGAGGCTGGGGATGCTTGTCCAACTTCTTTGCCTTTCCAAAACTTCACTGCTCTTTAGGATCCCACTCAGGTCCTTTGTGGCCTTTCCAGGATGCCTCTGGTGCTGGGCCTCATTCCCATAGAACTTCTGCAAGCCCAGGGACTGCCCATCTTCAGCAGCACTTGGTCACATGTTCTTTTTTTTTTTTTTCCCCCCACATGCTATACCCTAGCTCCTACATATGTTGTATTTATTGTCTTTCTAACTTGACCTGTGTTGCTCTGCCCTCAACTGGTCAGTTTTATACATCTTTATATACCACATGGTGCCGGCACACAAAAGAGACAAAAAAGGATTTCAAGTAGAATGAAGCAGTCTACTAGCAAAGTGGGAGCCTGTGTGGCATTGGGGCTGACTCCTCAGGAAACTTAAGGCTTTCTTCGAGTCTCAAAAAAAAAAAAGTCATTCAGAACTAGGGATGTAGCTCAGGGGTAGAGAGCTTGTCTAGCATGTATGAGGCCCTGGGTTCAATCCCAGTACTATCAAAAAAAAAAAAAAAAAAAAAGATCCAAGATGTACCTGATGTCACATGCCTGTGATCCCAGGACTTGGGCGGCTAAGGCAGGAGAATGGTCAGTTTGAGGCCAGCCTGGGCTACATGGCAAGTTCTGCACCACCTGAGGTATGTAGCAAGAGCTGGCTCACCCCCTCCATCCATTAAAAAAAAAAGCCATATTCACCTCAGAAGTGAGGTCACTTCTGAGGGAGACTATTGTGAGATGGAAGGATGGGGCTATATTTTGTGGTCTCATCTCCCATGGAGGAGGACACAGGTCTGGGGATTGGAATTAACGCCCCTTCTTCCTCATAAACCAGGAGGAGGCAGAAGGAAAATGCAGGTTTGGGGGCTCCCCCATTACTCACAGTCCTGCCTTCTGACTCTAGGGGATGATGACGAGATGGCTGACCTGACAGAAGACATGGGCATCAGGAAAGTGAGTAGTTCCTGGCCTCAGCCTGGGGCCTGCAATTTCTCCGTCCATAAGGTGCCTGTTATGACACAGCACCTGCCCCACTCCCTGAATGCCCAGGGGGTCCTCAAGGATGCTCACAGTGGGCAGTCAGGGTGTGGGTGCATGTGCAAGGGAGGTAACACACTGACCACCCAAGATTTGGGTGCCTCTGAAGCACCCTCTGTGTCCTTTAGTATTGACAGATTGTCCAGTTGATCTTGTGTCTCCACCAAGGACATGTGCTGAACTGGCTGTGAAGGCAGCATCTGGCACATGCCCCGAGGGGAGGGCTCCTAGTGGTCGGATCTCCAATTGAGGAATGCTTACCTCGAAGGCCTTGTGCTCCTCACCTGGTCCTCACCAAAGGAATGGATTCTGTCACCCATTTCCAGAGGGCTCTGCCTTAGGTCATAAGGCTCAATAGTTACAAACCAGAGGTTGGAACCCTGGATTTTCAGTCTCCTGAACCCAAGAATTTAATTCCCTCGCCACGGTTCCCCTCCTGACCTGGCACCGTGCTGTCCAGCAGGGTGAACCTCTCCCAAAGGATGAAGTGGCCAGGTCTGTCAGCTGAGACCTGGTGTCCCTTGTCCATGAGCAGCCCCCAGCTCTCCTGGGCATTATTCTTAGGTGACAGAGGTAAGGAGTGTGGTAAACCAGTGGTGAAGAGATAGGATATGGGGTTTCACCTTGACTTCTGAGCCAGCCTTTCAGAGCCTCAGTTCCTGGTCTATAAAATTCACTTGTCAGTAGACTGTCCTGTAGAATTATTGGGACAATGTGATAAGATCGGCATGTAAAGTGCATTAGCTTAGAGCTTGACATATGCCATCTTTCTTGCCAGTTGCCCTCTGCCCATCTTGGTCCTAGACGCTACTTTGTTGTTAAGAGTGTCTTACAAGGCAGAATGGGAAAGCTAGGTGAAAACCAAGTGAGAGTTCTGGAGTGGGAGAGTAGCTGGAACTCTCAAAGTCGCCTGCTTCAGGAAGCTCCAGTGATGCCCTGGAGCAGTTAAGTGTCACCAAGTTGTCCCAGTGTGGCACAGTTCCACTTACTAGAGCCCTTCCTTTCCTGGTCGGAGATTTCTTCAGTAGGCCACGTTCAGTCTCAATCCCATCTTGTTTTCAGGCAGCCATGGAAGTCCGAATGAGTATGTCCTGGGTCCAAACTGCCTGGGCTCAAACCCTGTTTTCTGTGTAAAGTATTGTCAATAAGTCATAACTGTTCTTTATGGTCATTAGTCGTTTTCCCTGGGATGTTTCTGCTAAGAGCCTCTCTGGTTCCTTCAGCCTGCCTCATAGGTGGCATTCTGATCCTTCAGCAGCCTCCTCTTATTCCTGGCCACTTGATCACAATGCTTTGAGGAAGGCTCCCACCCAGCTCAGAGCCAGCAGGATTGGGTATCTTGTCTTAAGGCACTGAAAAGGTCCCAGGATTGCCACACAATGCTGGTGGCTTGTGGCAAGTCAGCCCCTGCCACTGCTAGCCTGAAGCTTTCTTGTGTGACAGTTGCCAAGTCCTCTGCCCTGGTTGTGGAAGCAGGAAGTGCTGGGATGCAGGCTTCAGGCTCTGGAAGGCTGGGTATCGACAACCACGAACAAGCTCAGCCATCATGTGCAGCCCGTCATGCCTTCAGTTTCTCTCCTAGCCAGCCACTATGCTGGACTACAGCCAGTGGAACTGGTGTCCCTATTCCCAGACACCCCATGTGTGCTCCAGCCTGATCCCTTTGCCTGCCACCCCTGGCCCTGAAGCTCATCTACCTTAGGAGTCCCAGGAATCTGCCTTCTTACAAGGCTTCCAGGACTGGTCACACAGACCACAGCACAGGAATCAGCCCTATGAGCTGAGGCCACTCCTGGCTGATTCCTTTCCCCATTCAGAAGCCTTTGCCCTGCTGATAGATATTTCCTCTGCCAAAACTACCAGTGAGCAGGGCCACTGCTGGTCTGTCCTCCTTCCTGAATACCCATGCTGTGCCAGGCACATACTAGGTGCTTACCACTTGCTGTGGCATATTATTAGATAAGCCCATGTGTCCTTTTGGTTCCCTTAGTTGCTGAGGGACTGTGGTGCCTGACAGAACTGGGTTCTGTCCCCAAGGCCAGGCACAGTGTACTAATGACTAATAGAAAGGATAAAGTGGAGTTTGTGTGAGATGAAGAGTTATAAAGCCATTCTCTCTGGAGAGACCCTGGATCTCATATTCCATGGGAGGAAGGCTGGCTAAGGTACATGTCAGGGTGCCACGTGGGCATTCGTAGTCCTAGATGGAGCTCAGTGGAGAAATAAGCCCTGTGGTCAGGTCATTGCAAGAGCCTTGCTTTCCCACTACCTCACTGTGTTATCTAGAACATACACCCACCTTTTCTGGGCCAGTGTTTTCTCCTTTATAAGTGGGTGATCAAGAGCTCACCAGAGACCTTTCATGCACAAGGGAGGTTACTGCTACTGTGCTTGACATTGGTAAGCATGGTCACGTCCCCTTGTTCACTAACTCCCCATGTATCACCTTTTTCTATAGAAGAAGCTTAAGCGACAGAAAGAGGCTGAAGAGGAGGAGCTAGAGGTGCCCCCTCAGTACCAAGGTAAGGCTTCTACACAAGCCCCATGACACCTGCAACAGGCAGAGGAGTTAACTGCTAGAGTAACAGAGCCTTAGGTTGAATGATCTGGCTGTGCCCAGTTGACACCAACTCAGACTGGCTTATCTAATAGTCAAGACTGGGTGGGGAACAAAGGGGTGTGGGGATGAGGGTGAGCCTGAGGGGTAGGTCTGGGCATGGGACCCCCCAAGCCTTTGCCAGAAACTCCGGAGTTCAGCTTCTCCCCACCCATCCACCCTTCCATGGGTTTGCAGCTGTCCCTTCTGGAAGCTGTTCACCTTCCTTGTCCACCACAAGAGCTCCAGCTCTGTTGATGGTTGTTGGGAAGAGTAGTATGGAGCCTAGCTACAGGGTCCTCTCTAGGTTTGTCTCTGGGTCCCCAGGCTGTTTCCCTCCACAGAGCAGCTTCTAGGTGTGCCAGGGTAGCTTCTGTGCTTCCTTACTCCCACAGTGCCCATACAGGTTCTACTCCTGAGCCACTGCATCTGGGCCTTGCTGTGCACCTGGAGGGCCAGGGTTCCTTTGAGGAGTCTCTGATTCCACTAGTGGCATTCCAACCCATGAATCCTCCACAACAACCAGAGCCCACTCATCTCCTCTGCTCTGAGATGATGTGGGCAGAGGCAGTTGATGGGGCAGAAGGCTGGGTTCAGAACCACTTGCCCAGCTGCCGCTTAGTTGTTTGACCTTGTCTAGTAACACTGCCTCTGTGAGCTTCCCATTTCTTATGCCAGTCATCTGAGAGGGTCCTCCTGAGCTGGCACTGTAGGATTCCATCCATGACTGTGTTGAAGTCCAGGCAGGAAGTGACAGCTGACCCTGGGCAAAGATCCTGATCTCTCAGCTGCAGTTTTCACCTCTGTGCAGTTAGATAAATAACTGCCTTTGGGGGCTGAGGACAGCTCAAGTGGTAGAGCATCTGCCTAGCAAGTACAAGATCCTGAGTTTAAACCCCCTCAAGTCTCCCCTCCTCCCCCAGAAAAATAGCTACCATTGTATTTCACAGTGCAAGTGTGAAACCCAAACTGCCTTGTTTTACTAGTGAGGTTAAGAGATTCCAGACAGTTAGGACACTTGCCTGAGGGTAGAGCTGTAAGAGGCAGAGCTAGGAGTTGAACCTGAGTCTCTCTCGCTACAAAACCCATGTTCTTTCTCCTAGAATAAATGGAGCAGTGTGACTTTGGAGAATGTGGGTCATTTTATGTCAGAGGAGAATATATGTCTTCCCAAAGATTACTGGTAGGCCTCTGAGGATTCTGAGTCAGTCTGAGGAGCCCAGTGGTCTGTCAGGTTCCTGGGCCATCCCTCCTCGAGGGAGAACTTCATCTTGGCTTGGTAGGGGACAGAGCCAAGTTCCTCTGTTCTTTGCCCATCTGCTCTCCAGCATCCCTTTGAGAGAAGGGTGACCTTGGCTTTCCAAAGGAAGACTGACTCTGCCTGACTCCAGTCTCTGTGTTCTTCCTACAGCTGGAGGCTCTGGCATACACCGCCCTGTGGCCAAGAAGGCTGTGCCTGGGGCTGAATACAAGGCCAAAGTAAGAGCTTCAGATGGGTCATGGGGTCTCCTGGTACTGGATAGGTGCTGGGGAGGACAAGGAAGAGCGGTGCCCATCACCACCCTGAAAAGCCACCTTTGTGGAGTCAGACAGGCCAAGGAAAAAGACATATCCAGGTCTTGTTAGCATCTGAAGTTGGGGGCCTTGGTCAGTGGCCTTTTAGGGCCACAGCTGTTCTTTCGTACCATCCAAGGCAGAGAATAAAGGGAAGGGAGAACATGACATCTGTCAAGTCTGGGGGAAGGGAATGAGGGAGCCAATACTCCTAGCTGACTCTGTTTCTCTGGATGAGCAGAAAGCAAAAGGTGACATGAAGAAGAAGGGTCGGCTCGATCCCTATGCCTACATCCCGCTCAACAGAACCAAGCTCAACCACAGGTATGGTGGGGTGTGGGACAGATAGGAAGCTCTGAGCTCCACAGAGGCAGGATCTCTTCTCATTCCACTCTCAACCAGCTTGCTCAAGTCTCCCTAATTGTTTATTTTATTTATTTATTTTTGAGACGGGCTTGCCCTATATCCCGGGCTGGGCTCAGACTTGCTATCCTTCTGCCTCAGCCTCCTGAGTGTTGAGATTATAGATGTGTACCACCATGCCTGGCTCATTTATGTTATAAAGAGAGGGCTGTCTGTTGTTAGTGAAATGTGACCCTTTTGTTCCTTGTGCCTACAGGAAGAAGGTGAAACTTCAGGGACAGTTCAGAGGTCTGGTGAAAGCTGCCCAGCAGGGGTCCCGGGTGGGACACAAACTCCGCAGAAAGGACCGTAGGCCCTGAAGTCCCAGGACCTCTATGTCGCTCTGCCATCCAGGCTGAGGCTCCTTTCCAGCTCCCCAAGCTGCTTCATACCAGCTCCAGGTGCACAAAATTGGCAAGACCTGGACTCAGAGTGTCTCGTTGGAACCAGGGCTCAGCTCCCGGAGAGACATCTAGAATTTGGGAAAGTCCAAATGAGAACTACCATTTAAAGACACCTGGACACCTGAAGATGGGGCCTGTGGCCTCACTGCCTCTGAGTTGGCCCCATGAGGCTTTGTGCTTTCCACCCAGAGTGGCCATGAGCAGAAAGTGGTGATCTGCGTTTTCTCAGCTGCTGCCGTGTGGCACTTTCTGCCTGGCTGTGGTCTGGGTGTGTGAGGTCTGCTGTGATCAGCTGTAGAATAAACATATCGCCATACCTTAGCCCTAGAAACACTGTTTTATACTTGCCCCTCTAGGGGTGAGAACAGCATCTGGTTGTTGGTCATCGCTACTTGACCCCTTCCTGCCCAGCTCCTAGCATCCAGTCCAGAGAGTGCCATGCTTTGTCCAGGATCACCCACCCATGTCAGGAGGGCTCCTGGCTTCACTTTGCAGTCCCACTCAGAAAGTGACGGTGTCAGGAAGGGCAGTGAATGTGCTGTGTCTGATCCCTGAGCTATCTGTCCCTGGGCACCAGGGACTTAGAACAGAAACAAAAGTCAGTGACTAAGAGACTGCAGCTTGGCTGCCTGGGCTGCCCCTGGGCACAAGGCTTTCCCTGTATCTTTGTCCACTGATTCAGCAGTGTTTATTGACCCCTCCATATGCCCAGCACAATCTGATTTGCCCAGCTCCCCATTATATATTCTTTCTCCCCATGTAGTTGTGCTAAGTGATTCCCCCTGGTCCTGCGTTGGTCTGGTATAGCCCTCCCATGCTCCTGGGGTTACACTACCCATCAGCCCAGGATCCCTCTTGCATATGCTTTCCCGGCAGGCAACCAGAAGCAAAGGACCCTAGGGCTATCCTCACACCCCAATATGAAGAATGTGCTTTGTCCTCTGACAAAGGGAAGGTTGGTAACTTTTTCTGGATCATATTCTCAGTGTGTGAGACCCCACATGTACATCCCTCAATAGATTCTGTTCAGGTTTAATGCCCTTGGCTCTATCATGATCCCAGGAGGCCCTGCCTATGCACCTCCTTACAACACTATTCCACTCATTCTCCAAGGAGAAACAAGTCTTAACTGGATCCAGTGCCCCAAAATTGGGGCATTTCCTCCTAGTGACCTTGGGATACAAATCTGAGAGGGACCACACTTCACCAAGAGGTGGCACTGTTTACATGCCTTGTTCACTGAAGTGTGCAACAGGAGAGCAAGCAAGAAAAGTGGTCAAAAGGTTGATTAAGAATTTGCAAAGGAGCCTAACTATGGCCTGCATTACTTACACTTTGGACACAGGCACATGTAAGTAAGCCCATCCCAGACCTTTCCTATCTCCTTTCTCAGGAAATGGAACCACACACACTAGGAAGCCTCATGAAAAGGACTGATGAGTCTGAGCCAATTGCCCAGTATTGATGTCTTTTAAAAAAAAAAAAAAAGAGTTTGGAGCCAGCCTGCTTATCAGAGCACATTTTCCAAGAAGCTCTGTTTTCTTTCAAAGGAGGGAGGGGCAGATGACCTAGAAAGGTTAGTATTAGTGATATGCTGAACTCCATATTCTTTGGGAAATAGACTTCAACTGCAAATTATCTTGATACAGAGGCAAAAATGAATCTGCCCCAGAAACTTTAGGTGCTTGAAGTGTTAGGAAAGTCGATGCTGCTTTTGTGTTAACAGAGCGGATGTCCGGAAGCCTTGTAAGTATTTATTATCACAAGTTTCATTTACATTTCAGGACAAATAGAAAAAAATTTCCACCAAGATCTAGATTTACTATTTTATTTTATTACTGTGCTGCGGGTACATTATGACATTTGCAAAAGTTCTTTCAATATATCATAGTTGGATTCACCCCCTCCAATATTTTCCTTTTCCACCCTCTCCCCATAGATTTACTATTTTAATTTTTGTTGTACTTTTGGAATGTCAGAATCCTTGAGACTTTTCCAGACTTTTTCTTTCTTTCTGTCTTTCTTTTGTGGTCCTGGAGTTTGAACTCAGCTTCTCAAGTAGCTCTACTACTTGAGCCACACCCCTAGCCCCTTTTCAGGTAGTCTCATATTTTGCCAAGAGCTGACCTCAGACCCCGATCCCCTTACCTCTGATGACCTATGTAATGGGATCACAGGTGTGTGCTGCCCTGCCTTATTGATTGAGATAGGGGTCTTGCTAATTTTTTACTTGGGCTGGTTTTAAATCTCAGTCCTCATGATCTCTACCTCCTGGGTAGCTGAGATTACAGATGTGAGCCAGGATGCCTGGTGTCTCTACTCATTCTACCCCACCTCACTCAAAAAGGCAACCCTTCTGGTGGCCAATGTGGTCAAGCATTAGGGATTTGCAAAAGCAGTCTAATTGTGTACCTATCAGGATACTTCTGGACACAGGTGAGTCAGATTAAGCCAATCTTTCCCCTTCACTGTTTCCCTTCTTGTGATTTTAATGGAAGCTTATTGGAGACTGTCCTAGTGATTCATTGCTGACATTTGCTATCTTACTAGGTCCTTAGTCTTTCTTGCAACTTGATCAGTCCCAGGAAGGATGTTTTTTCTGTATCATTTGCAACATGTGAGAAAACAGCTTATGATATTCCAGTAGCCCCTGTTTTTTGTCCTTGGGGTTTTTTCCTCATTTTTTTCTTGTCTGCTTATTTTTCTTCAAAGAGTAAACAATTAAGATATATTGTATATTTCACTATAAGAGTAATAAAGATTTACAGAACATTGGTATAAAAAAAGTAAGAGCAGGGACTGAATTCTTCCTACAAATTCTCATTTAACCCTAGTGTATTTCATTCCTATTATATACCCGGGGCCTATTTTTTAATACAAAGATAAAGTTTTTAAATATGAGTTATGTTGTAAATTTACTCTTCACTATAACAAAAGATTTTACTCTACCTAAGTAAACACTTCATAAATACTGTTTTTAATGGCCCAGTTTAATATGTCTACCCAGTGGATGAGCTCAGTTTATTTATAAACTATCTTTGAGTCTGTAAGTATATTGTTCCTTGCTTATAAGTGATGGAATGTAAATCCATCACTGATGTTAGATTGTGCAAAGCAGTATTTAGGAAATGACATGATGGGTACTTTTTGTTCTATTTTTGATATACATTATGATGAACGGATAGATGACTGTACTCCAGAAAATAACCCTGATTTGGGACAATGTAAGCTTGTTTGCCACTTCCTGAAATTATGCTTAATGTAGCTCCTGCCATTAGAAACACTTACCAAGCTGTTAGAGGACAACCAAGTCATCCAAGGCCAGGGTTGTAGTGGCAGATTTTCTCTTACCATTCCAAGTCCCGTTGATTGATGGAAATGCTAAGACAGGATTTCAAGGCTGTGGTCAGTCGTGAATATGAAGAATGTGGGTGGAGGGTACAGTGGCTTGGCACAATATTCCAGAGCTGGAGTCTGAAGATAGCTCTGCAAATCTAAAACCAGGATTGATCAGAAAATCCCAGACTTGTGAGAGACCTAGTCAGAATTATTTATTAATTTGTTATATTTCTCATTAGAAATGTAACTGTCCAAGATATTAGTGGTGACTGACTAGGACATACTCTGAGTTGCATCAGAAGTCAAATGGGTGGGTTTAGTGAGCATAAAATAGGGCAAAGGGAATTCTGAGGGATGTATTAGTAACATCATTGAAATAGAACAACAGTGCCTCCATTGGTATAGGCCTGCAGATTGGGGCCTGTTCTGGTAGGCTGCTGAAGCTATCCCCTTCCATGTGGTTCGTGCTACCCTGCGGGATGTATCTCTCCTCTGCAGTGATGCTGAGACTCTGCACCACTTTCCTGCTTTTCTGAGATTTAATTAGGCTCCTGCTTCCTTCACATGCAGGCATACCTGGATTGCATTTCCACGCCTAGCTCTTCTGGCTCTCATCAGGGAGACAGCCTGTTCCCTCTGTGACCTTAGACAGATAACTTATCCTCTCCATCATACATGAACTTGGAGGGTTTAAGTTCCAGAAGGCAGCCTGGTTTTCAAATTGCAGTTGTATCGCCCTGAGAGAGCTGATTATTTAAAGTCACAATTTCAAAAAGGATCTGAGGCACTTTTGGCAGGCAGGTGGATTTGTGAATGGTGCCAGGGAAAACCTATGCTGTCCTCAGGGCTCCCTTGTAAAATCTTCCTTTTAACCAGAACTGTTGTTACAATGTAGATCTTGGACTTGAGGCCAAGGTGCCTGGGTTACATACTAACAGATAACCTGAAATCAACCCTCAGTAGTAAATATGCTCATAAAAATGCCAGGCACAGTATCACCCCGAGCAGATTTTACATGGCATGTATGTTGATTGGATCATTGTGTGATAATTCTTATCTACAAATGCCTTCTTAATCATTCCAGCAGCAAGTTTAACTCCTCACAAGTAGGTGAGGTGTACTTCCAAAGCAAACACTCATAATCATTAAATGGAAAAGCTGACATATAGCACTCTGAAGAAAATTTTTCCCAGTCCACATGAAGACTGTCACATGGGTCACATGCAGTCTATTCCTCAGGACTTCACACAGAGCCCTGATATCTGCTATGTGCACAGCCATTCACACCTGCCAGATCCGAATCTCCTGCATAGGTACAGTAATGACTGCAGCCCCAGGTCATACAGAGTTTACCAAAAGCAGCCAAAACCCCCACCTTCCTGGATGCCTGCTATAGCCACATTCTGATGGTGGGTGTCATTATGAGTTCCACTTTGCATCTGCGCCCCCAAAGGCAGAGAGGATAGGTAGTTTGGGCAGTTAAGCAGGTGGCCTAAGTGGTGCCTACGCCTCAGAAGTTCAAGTCCATGTTGTCATAACCTACTGAACTTAGCCCTGGGAGAATATGGGGTTGCTAAGAGACTTGACTATGAATTTCCAAATGCCATGTTGGGACAGCAGTGTTCTTCCTGTTCATTACATTGCAGGCTTTTTGCTCCCAAAGCCCTGCTTTTCTGGGTGGAAAACCAGTTACAGAACAGGTCTCTGTACTAGGTGAGAGGAGAGTGACGCTGTGCCAGGGTTAACTTTCTTGACATGAAGGGCGAGGCAGGGCTGGGTGTTCCTCTTTCACCTTCAAGGAGGGATGATAGAGTTGTCCTACAAGTCCTTCCTTTGTTTTCACCATTTTCTTCCATGTTCTCTACACACGCACACACACACACCTTATTTATGCTAAGCAAAGAACGTCCTAGAAAACATCGTGAGGCATAGAAAATGCACAGTAAGCAATGCAGAAGGCTTCTTGCCTTCAGTTTATG